GGAAGCTTAACTGAGGTGCAGGATTGGTTACATTACTTTCAAGTAAGAGAGGCCTACAATTTGGACAGGAAAAATGGTTTCCAGGTGGAAAAATCAAAGTTGGAAACAGAATTGTTAGAACCCAATGCTAAGATATTGTCGAGAATGTATGATTTGCTGTTGAAATGGAATACTGAGGATGAAACGGTTAAATCGGCTATGATAAAATGGGCACAAGACATTGGTCATAATATTATGTTTGCTGACTGGGAACGGTATGAAATTTATGGCATGTAATGCCTTAAGAGAAAATATTATGAAAATGATTTATAGGTGGTACATGACACCAGTCAAGCTTGCAAAGATTTATCATTTGCCTGATAACAAGTGTTGGAAATGTAAACAAACTGAAGGAACATTCTTTCACCTTTGGTGGACGTGCCCAAGGATTAAGGCATTCTGGGAAATGATCTATAATGAACTGAAAAAGGTATTTAAGTATACTTTTATGAAGAAACCAGAGGCCTTCCTCCTGGGCATAGTCGGCCAATTGGTGCCAAAGAAGGATAGAACTTTTTTCATGTATGCTACAGCAGCAGCAAGAATACTTATTGCAAAGCATTGGAAGACGCAAGATCTACCCACCTTGGAAGAATGGCAGATGCAAGTAATAGACTATATGGAACTGGCAGAAATGACTGGTAGAATCCGAGATCAAGGAGAGGAGCAGATGGAAGAGGACTGGAAGAAGTTTAAAGTTTATCTACAAAAATATTGTAAAATTTATGAATGTTGAAGGCTCTGAAAATGAAATGAAGGGGTTCTAGCGATTAAGATAAATAAGATTATAAAGGGAGGGACAATGGTTTAAAATGAATAACGAACGATCTTGCTGAACTAATTTTTAAAGTAGAATACAAGAAGGGAAGGCGGGTGGAAGCAAAGAGAATAAGGTTTTGAAAGTTATAATATGAAAGAGCGTTCTTTTTTATGCTAAATTTTTTCCTTTGTATTTCTCTTTTTTCTGTTTTTCTGTTTGGATTTTTGATGTTTGTTGTTTGTTTTTTGTGTTTTTTGTTGATTTTTGTTGATGTTAATTTTCTGGAAAACTCTAATAAAATATTATTATAAAAAAAAAAAAGCTTAACTGGTAATGGTGAAGGAAAGGTGAAGTTCAGTTTCCTTCTTCAAGTAGAAGTTTTGTAGAAGTGGAGCTGTTTGACAGAGAAGCCTGGCTTGGTGTTTAGAGAGGGCAAAGCTGTTCCACAGCTTTGAGGAGCAACAGGAAAGTGCACAAAGAAGGTCTTCGTGGAGAAATTGTATCCTGTGTTCTTAGAACCAAGGATGAAAACATTCTCTTCAAGTTACTTGAAGGGAGGGCACAATCTGCTAATGCCATAGAGTAGGACATTCTTGGTAGGGAGTGGAAACACACTCCCAAAACAGACTTGCCAGCCATTACAACTACTTTTGTTCCACTAGACTCTAATCAGTTTTTGTAAGTCACTCTAGCCTGTATTTCTTTTTATTGCTGAAAGTCAGAAGTTTAATTACTTCTGACTTTTAAGTTGTAGCTTTTTACTGTATTGCATTGTACTGGGGTTTTGATAGTGAACTTTGATTTTATCATGTTGCTTTGAGTAGCTGATGGAAAGTTAACTGAGACTTGTGCAGGATAAATACATGGTGATAGCCTTGTGTGCACGTTTTTTTTAGTACTGCCCTCTTGTTGATGTGTTTACTACAGCCATAGATTCTTCTGTAATCATTTTATAAAACGCTGGCACCTGGAAAACATCCCTGTTAATCAATTTCTTTTTCTGTTTTCAGTCTTAGGGTTAGGGTTAAATCCCAGCTTCATGCTGAGCCTTATATACAACATATTTGTTCTTATTTTCCATTCCTGCTGCTCCTTCGTTGCAGATCACTGCTGGCTAATAGAATTTGATGGGGCTCCTTCCTGTTGCCTGCAAAATGTTTCATTTTGCTACCTTCCGCTCTTGCTTGCTTTTTTCTACTTTTTGTCATCGTTTTGATCTTGCAAATCCAGGTCCTATGAGAAATCAGACAGTATGAAATATGAAAATTGCTTGAGAAGTAATTGGAGAAACAGTGAGATTTATGAAACCCATGGAGATAATGCTCACACCTACTTATTCACAATATTTAATTTTTAACGGCAATTTTAATTAATGGAGGCACGGGTCTTTGGGTTTTTCAGAGGCAAGTGAGGAACAGCAGGGAGTTGCAGGGCTGTGCAGTGCAGGTGGGAGGGAAGGTGCTATTAAAATCTGCATTCCAGGCTGGTGACCTGAGAGAGGGAGAGGACAGAGTGTTTTAAAGTTCTAAAGTGAAATAAAATTAACCATTATGTAACACACATCGATAGACAGACAGACTGACAGATAGCACTTGCTGCCAAAGTACATTTTGAGGTGAAGCCTCATCTGCAATTTGTCAGTTCCTGAAAGAGTTTTTTTTATTGCAAACCTGTGAAAACAATTCCCTGCTGGGCTTCTTTGTGTCATGCATTAAGATACATCTAACAATGATGCTTTCATATAGCAAATTTGAAAGGAATATCAAAGCATGCTTATATGAACCTGCTAATTTACGAACTCTGCAAGGAAAGTGGTAGGGAAGTGCACAGAAATACAAAACTATCTGAGAAGGGGCAAGATTGTACGCATAACGAGTGGTCTTTTTTCTGTTTAAGTTCCATTTTCCCTAAGCTTTGTGGCTAGGCATTGCTGGAGGATAAAAGTAAATGCAGGAATAAAACTTTGTTTCAGCTGCTGTCCTGAGGAAATGGAAGGAAAATAACACCAGAGAGAATCATGATACAATCTGAAAAGGGCAAGGATCCTCCAGAAAGGGAATTATACAGTAAAAAAAATCTGTCACACACTGTTTTATTTGAATTGATTATTTAGATTTGTGTTTATCTATTTAGCCTCTCACTGTTAATCAGCAAGTTTACAGAGGAAATGTGTCCATATGCCATTTGCTTATGTTGCATAGATGAAAGGGCTAGGAATCGTTCCATGCTTTATGTGACAATCATGTTTGGGCCAAGGTTCATCAGTGTTTATATCTGGATATTTTGGGATGTGCGCCTGTCATGTACACTGTATATTTGCTGCAGATAATCCATAACAAGCACAATTTGCTGTATGTGTGGAACTGTTCTTTAATAGGACTTCATTCTCACATTTGTCTTGCACCTTTCCTTCAAGAAGCTAGGGTGGTGAACATGATTTGTTTTCTTTCCATTTTTCTCCTCACAAGAGCCTTGTAAAGAACATTACCAGCCCATTGAGTATGATGGTGTTATGGCACCCCATCTTCTCTGCATCTTACGATGCGGTGAGGAAGGGAGTTCCAGCCAAGAGTGTACTGTCTGCTCTTCCTTCCTGTTAAACCTCTCACTGCCACCAGGTGAGAGAATTTATTTTACACTCATTGCTCCTCACTAGACAGCATAAAATGCCCTTGGGTCTCCTCAAAAACACCTCAAAGTGCATTCCCACCAGCGGAGTTTGGATGTATTGCTGTTAATTTTATTCAATCTTGTTGGGCACATATACCAGCGGTGTATGTTTAGAGCATTTTCTCAATTCCTATTTGAGATAGATCCAAACAGTAGTCTCTTCCAAAAAACAATTCCAAATTTGTTCCTCTAGTTCTTCTCCAAAATCTCTCCCCCCCCCCATTTTAGTATTAAAAAATAAGGGGAAGGGTAGACAATATAGTTGGGAAATGATTCCTTTCCCCAGTGGGTTGATGGAATGAAATAATTGTTCAAAGTTGTTTAGGTTGCATAGTGCCTGGGGCATACAACTTTAGTCCCAGTTTACAACTGAAGTATAAAGCAATGAATATCTTGTGCATTATTTGCAGTCTTAAGACTTATTTATGAAGGCTAGGGAAGATCAGCTTTCTCCTGAATTGGATAAAATTTCATACATTGCTTTACTTCACAAAGTGAAGTTACTATATTTGAAAAGTTGCTGTTGTGTCTGAGTTCAGGTGGAGTTTAATCAAAGTAAATGTAGGATGCTGTCAAGAGATTGTTTATAACAGGGGTGTAAAATCTTTGGCTTTTGGGTCAAATTTGGCCCATGAGGCTGTTTTCACAAACCACACCCTCCTGCTCCAAAGGAACAATTGGGAACCTTAAAGTGTGATCCCAACTATTTTTTGTGAGTGAGGCTTGCTGTCAGCGCTGATCAGCTGATCGACATTGACAGCAAGTTCTGGTGTGATTGCTGTCCAGAGCAGGTATGTTTCACTCCCGGCAAACCCTCAGAGTATGGCTTGATGTAAGTGCAAATATTTCTTTGTGTTGTCTGATTAAATTTGAGCTGTACCACACAGGAACATTTTTACTTTGGGTCACCTGATACTATTGTGATGTCAGGCGATTAATGGGCAGCTCCACCCATCAATCCATCCTATGGACTGGATCCTTTCCCCCAACCCTGACTTATAAAAAGGCTAATGTTTGGATACTTGCTTTTCAATTAACCTGCCTTTTCTGTTTCTGATATTGTTATTTATACCTTTACAATAATGACTGGTTGATGTTGCCCTTGCCAGACCTGTGGATCTCCAAGCTTGAAGCTTATCTCTCAGAAAGGCACCAGCAGTTGCTAGGAGAACTTTCCCCATATACCTGAAAGCCCAATTCTTGAGTATATTTTCTTTGGATTGGAGGTGTGCTGCTAATTTGCTCATTCTCACTCAGTGCAATATTCTCACTCATGTATGAAATGATACATGGTGAAGCTCAATGGTTTGTTTTTAGCTATTATTTTATCTGTAGGGTATAAATGATGATGATGAGCTTCAGAATCCTTTATTTTTGCAAGCATTTTCATCCCTGTTACCCCTCCCTTTTGGTGCTTTAATGTATAGCATATGTCCCGCTTGCCTTTATCAGTTTAAGAGCCTTTGTACTGGACTATGCTGCTTAACAAACATTAATTTGTAATGCTGGGTGATGCCTTTTAAACTTTCAGAATTCTGAAATCTACAAGATGACCTTGGATCAATACAATGAGGCAGTTACCAATGCAGAAGATCAGATCAGGTAAGAATGCAATTGTTATCCCATTGACAGATTAAAAACAATATTATTTTTCCAGAAGGAGCTGGCTCAATGTGGTCCTGAGGGGGATTCACTTTGCATGCTTCCACCCAGTTTTGGCCAAAGCAGGGAATTACACGGAAACCAGCCAAGAAGTGTCATAGTAGAGCAGAGTAGATACTGTGCATCCAGGTCACACTTCCTCACACTTTAGAAGGAAAGGGGTTCTGCTCCATCTTAGGCCAGGATTGTGCAGCTCTGTCCATTGCCTGGCTTTAGCTCCTTCCTCAACTTTGCTTTCTACCCTGTCCCAAACCTGATAGGAGCCAAGTCTGACAGACAAGAAATACAAATATTTTTGTAGTTGCCATATGGGGAAAGTATGTTGCTGCAGTCAGGGAGGCATTTCTCTTAGAGTTAAGGAGGAGTATATGAACATGACCTGAGCTAGCGGAAGCCCTGAAGCATTGAAATCTACATTTCCACTATAAGCCAAATAGCTATTGGTGTGTGTGTGTGTGTGTGTGTGTGTGTGTATGGGACGCGGGTGGCGCTGTGGGTTAAACCACAGAGCCTAGGGCTTGTCGATCAGAAGGCCGGCAGTTCGAATCCCCGCGATGGGGTGAGCTCCCATTGCTTGGTCCCTGCTCCTGCCAACCTAGCAGTTTGAAAGCACGTCAAAGTGCAAGTAGATAAATAGGTACTGCTGTGGTGGGAAGGTAAACGGCGTTTCCGTGCGCTGCTCTGGTTTGCCAGAAGCGGCTTAGTCATACTGGCCACATGACCTGGAAGCTGTACGCCGGCTCCCTCGGCCAATAAAGCGAGATGAGCGCTGCAACCCCAGAGTCGTCCACGACTGGACCTAATGGTCAGGGGTCCCTTTACCTTCACACACACACACACACACACACACACACATATATGCGCGCACACACACACACTGCTTTGTGAGCCAGTGTGGTGTAGTGGTTAAGAGCGGTAGTCTCGTAATCTGGGGAACCGGGTTTGCGTCTCCGCTCCTCCACATGCAGCTGCTGGGTGACCTTGGGCCAGTCACACTTCTCTGAAGTCTCTCAGCCCCACTCACCTCACAGAGTGTTTGTTGTGGGGGAGGAAGGAGAATGTTAGCCACTTTGAGACTCCTTAAAGGGAGTGAAAGGCGGGATATCAAATCCAAACTCCTCCTCTTCTTCTTCTTCTTCTTCTTCTTCTTCTTCTTCTTCTTCTTCTTCTTTCGTAAACGGAAGGGTTAAGTTAATACATTCCGTGAAATTTAAAGGACAATGCATAAGAATTGCAGTACATTGTACATGTTTAGCATATACACAAAAGTCAATAATATATAGTGCTTGAAAGAAACATGCATTTTAACATGCTTCTGACACGTTGCGAGGCGCTCCCAGTTGGCTGAGGCAACCTGCAAAATGTACCTGCATTAGAAAATGTGTATAATTGGGCCATATTGTGTGCAATGGCCCTTGAAGCAAATATATCAATTAGATGATTAAGAGTTGCTTTTTTGTGCAACAGGCAAATAAATGATGACAAATTAGACGTTAGGTGTTAATTAACAGAGCATGTGCTACATTTCTTAAAATAGTATTTTTATCTTGAAGCCAATATGTATATGATATTTTATGCCTCCTTTTTGTCACTTTAATACATGTTTCATATTCTAAATCCATTTATAGGATGGAGGTGTCTAGCATAGTATTCCCCATGTTTTAATAAACAAATGAATTCTTCCTTTCGAGGATTCTTTTTTGTTGACAATGCTAGAGCAGATATAATAATCCACACTAGTAAGCAACCGAATACTACGATGGGATACCCAGGGGGAGTGATGACAAAAGTCAGATAGTTTTCAGCAGGCATTTAAAATTTGGCACAGAAGGCTTCTGCTGGGTTTTCCACAGGTTACATGTGAGTATGGGTGTTGCAGAGCAGTCTAGAGAAGACTTTGAATCTCCAAGGTGTAAGAGATGATGCTTAGGGAGCTGCCTTCTCAGCTCCTTGCATTGAGAGGGCTTTGATGATTTCCTTTCCCAGGAAAGATCAGAAAATAATGGGCGCTGAAGACCAATTAACAAAGATGAGTTGACCTCTGTAGTTTAGGAGTTAGCTGCTTATCCGTTCTAAGTTGGAATATATTTGGGAATATAGCTAAGATAAAAAGAAAAATGCTTTGCAAGATGGAAGGTGCAGGAACTATATTGATTAGGAGATTATTATTATTTTGTAAGGAAGACCCCTGTCAGAAGACAAAATGAGGCACAAATTACAAGATACACCAGCAGATTGGCTAGAACTGCATGATGCTTGACATTTTATCACAAAAACATCTATTAAATACCTCTATTAATCCCAAAGGCATCTTACTAAAAAGCAGGCCACCAGGACAGTAAAACCATTTGAAAGGTTTACCTGGCTGTTAAGTAAAGCTTCAATGGCATGGTCTCAAAAATAAACTACCTCTAGATAGATGTTACTATGCTCAGATTAAGAAATATCAAATCCATGGAAAAGACAGATATAGGCGAAATGATACACAAGAGCCCATTTCGGGGGGGGGGCATTATCTGCTCATACAAGTGATAACTTTCAAAAAAAAAATACTACAAAAGTGATGATACATTCTGGTTCAACCAGCAAGAATGATGGGGAAGGGATCAGCAGATAGTTGGAGAGGTGACAGTTCAAAAGGAACATATTGGCAACTTCTGCCCAGTGGTAGAAGGGTTTTGGAAAGACTTCCTAAAAGAGATTGGTAGCATTACAAAGCACATAGCAGCAGTGGGTCCAATATTACGGTTGTTCTCTTTGTTTTCTGATGTAAACTCGGATTCCCCCCCACCCCCAAGAGGTAGTTTAGTTTGTGCTTGTGGCAGCTTGTGGCTCACCACATCCCAGCATTGGAAACATGCCTGCCTTAAAAATGGGTAATTGGTAGGGAAAAAGCTATGCTATGTTGTAGTAATGGAAAAGGTAACACATCAGTTTTGAATTCTTAGAGGCCAGTCACAAATTGATTATTTTTATGCAGTATGACATGATTTTGTTTCTTTTGCTGATAAGAAAGACACTGGTATGCTAATGCCACTGCAGTACACTTTTATTTGGAACAATAAGTAGAAGGCAGAACATTTTGTTATTGATCTGTTCTTCTCGGAATGCATTGGATCTCGATGCTGGATAACTAAATGGGGTCTATAACGGAGCACTCTATTCTTATATGGCGTAATGGCATGCTTTGTTTTATACATTTAGAATCATAAAATGGTAGAATTGGAAGGGACTCTGAGGGTCACCTTGCCTAACCCTCAATCACGCTGGAATTTTTTTGCCCAACATGAGGCTCGAACCCATGACCATGAGATTACAAGTCTACTGGCGGAGCTATCCCATATATATATATGGAACCTGGGACACTTTGGGCAATATGTCTCATAAAGCAGAGATGGACAGGTTTCCCATACAGACAAACAATAATGTGGATGGCTGCAGCGTGGTATATGTCTACTACTTGTACTGCATTTGCTGCTTATTGGTGCTGACTTCTTAAAAGTCTCACTTTTGAGTTTGCTGCAACAACTGTCAACAGGCATGGGCATGTTGCTGTTCCATTAAAAAAAACAACACCAAACCAAACCAAGCAAACAACAACAAAAACAGAGTTGCCAACATGCTGCATATATTTGTAGAGTACATTCTCTTAAAAATAAGTTGCTGTTGGAATAAATATTTCAAAAGTTGGAAAGCAGTAATTAAGTTATGACAGCCTTTTCTTCAGTTGTCTTAGAACACAGGAAGATGATATCAAAGCCAAATATGTTTCCAGAACTATGTTTCTAGTTGGCAAGAAAGCAATAATTAGAAATATGCAGGTTCTTTGGGATTTCCTGCAGGAAGAGATTAAGATCAGCAGTTGTGTCCTATATTTCTTGTTTTTAGTTGTGCCAATATTTCCTTTATCTTCAGTGCATTCCTTTTGGGGTTTCATCCTATCCCTCCACATTTTTTTACTGGATAGGGACCAGCGGCACACATTCGCCTCTTGTATTATGAGGCATTCTTCAAAAAGTCAAGACTGCTGTTAATTCCATCCTGGTTGTTTTAGCCAGAATATTTCAAGCAAGGTTTTAGGAAGCATCCTCCGCCGCACCCTGCTCTATTTGTTTTTGGCTGAAGTTGTTCCATGCTCCTTCTCTACTACGTGCCCCTGAACAATGCTTTCCATTTCACTTAATACCACATTGTAATTATTCTCACTTCATTGTTTTGCACTGCCAACTCATTCTTTAATCCCATCATTATATTTCCAGATGGTGCCCCACTGAGGCCTTTGTGTGGGGTTTTGGCAGTTGACTTACCGAAGATAGCTGTTACTTTGCACATCTTTCTCCTACAAAGAAAGAAGCTGCAGGTGAAAGAGATTTGGTGCAAAAAAAGCTCCCCTCCTCCACTTATACACCTAAAGGGCCTGAACTGGGGGTGACTGACCAGAAATGAGACCTAGGGGTCATAGTGGATAGCTTGACAAAGACATTGACCCAGTGTGCAGCAGCAGGTGGATCGTTCATAATGCGGTTATACAAATCTGTATTGTGACCACATTTAAAATACTCTCCTCAGTTCTGGTTATCTCACCTCGAAAAGGATATGGTAGAGTTGGAGAAGGTTCAGAAAAGGGCAACCAAACTGATACGGGGAGTGGAGTTTAGATAAAAGGTGAATAAGAGGTGCTAAGATAGAAATATGTTTATATAAAATTATGCATGCCATGGAAAAGGTGGAGAGAGGAATGTTTTCCTCCTTCTCTCATAACACTAAAATTTGTGGACAACCCAATGAAGCTGAATGTTGGAAGATTTGGAACGGATAAAAGAAAGGACTTCTTCACACGCCATATAGTTAAAGTGTGGATCTCACTCCCACAAGAGGCAGTGATGGCCATCAACTTGGATGACTTCAAAAGAAGATTAGACAAATCAATGGAGGGATAT